CTGTGGGACAGGACCTTGTGCTGTGCAGCCCCATCCTGTCATCCCGTGGGGAGTTTTTGCAGGGCTGCAGCCAGCACCAGGCGCTGGGACATCACTTCCCTGCTGAAACCCTCGCTCCCAGGATGATGCTCCCATCTCAAGATGGGCTGGAGAGCGGCTTTTCTCTGGTCCACGCAGCCTCTGCTTGGCTCAGCCCCCAAATCCCAGAGGAAGATGGGCTGGAGCAGGGAGCTAATGTGGCTGAACATCCTGGCAGTGACAGGGGACAGGACAGTTGTTGAAGATGGTGGGTGTTTTTGTTGTGCAAACGCCTCACCTCCTCCCCGAACAGGTCTGTCTCCAGCTCGCTGGTTTGCTATAGCTACGGGCAATTTTCTGTGTTCAAGTTTTGCAAAACCATATTAAGAAAAATCTCGCCCTGGTGCTGCTGGCTCTCCTCCAGGCTGGAAATTGCATTCCCCTGCTTGAAATTCCTCCCGGAGTTTCAGATGGAGAATGTACAACTTCACTTTCCATCTTGAGCTGCTGTCACACATTTTAATAACAGGGGCTGTGCTACACCCCAGAGGTGGCCGCACGCCAGGATTTTGAAGTGAACCCGTTGGAGCGGTTGCGGTGAGGGTTTGGACGGCTGCGAAGGCGCTGGAGCCGCGGCTCAGCCCCCGCCCTGGCCCTTCCTGCCCCCCCCCCAGCCCAGCTCAGCCTCTTGGACCAGGACGGAGTTTGTGGGTTCATTTTTCATCCTCTGTGTGAGTGCAGTGATGGGTTTGTCGGTGTTTCCTCTGCACCAGGTGATGGGAAACCCGGACCAGAGGGGATCAGCTCTGTTTGCTGCACCACAGTGCCCATGATCCCAACTGGAGAGAGACACAGTTCATTCCTCCTTCATGCTCAGTGGACCCTGGTGAGCTCAGGAAAAGCCCTCATGGTCCCATCTGGGTTTCTCCCTCTGCAAAACCTGCCTCTCCCCACTGAAAGGACTAGAGCAAATCCCCCCACAACATTACATGGAGGATGTTTGGGTTTGGGTTTTTTTTTCAGTAGCCAGTGGATAAACCTCAAAGTTTGGCAGGTCTCTGGGCAAAGGCTTGCTAACGTCACAGGCCAGCTGAGCAGAGTGACAAGGGGTGGTCTTCACTGAGACCCTGGAGGGGACTATGGAGGGGTAGCACTGTCAGGGAGCATGGTGACATCCCCTATCCAGATCCTCCTAGGGCCCCAGCTCCTGGTGGGGACCGCAGGTTGGAGATCCCAACTCCTTGGCTGGCGGGGCTGTGCTGCTTTAGGGATGGTCACAGGGTGGCTCTTACAGCGAGTGTCACTGTGCCTGGTGCTTGGGCACCCCATCCCCTGTGGTACCCACATCCCTGGGGACGGGTACACCTGAATCGCCAGGGAAGGGGATGGGCTTTGCCTCCCCTGGCTGCAGGCGCTGGTTTGCCTCTCACTGAGCTCCCTTTTATGGCTTGCTCTTTGAACCCAAGGAGTTGTGCTGTATTTGTAAAACACACTGCCGTAATCAGGGAAACAGCCTTCCTAATTGGATTGGAACGGCCCGGAGTAATTGGCTGTTTGGGAGCAGCCGTTTCGAATCAAGCTGTGTGCGCCTTAATAAGTTTGCTCGCCTTTATCAGCTTGGCAAACTCTGCTGTGGAGGTGACCTGTTAAATGATCTCCCGTGTTTCTAAAGCATTTTTCATCCCCACTGATCCCTTGAGCCCTTTTCTTTCTTTCTTTGTAAAAACAAACTTTGGGAAATCCCAGAGCACCCATGCTGTGGCTCCTGCCTGCCTGCTGTGGTGGGCTGAAGGGAGGTTTCTGGAGGAGGGGCTGGGTTGTGGTGCTGGGGTGGCTCTTTGGGATGCTTTAGCTCATTATTCGGGGTTCCATCCTGCTTGGATCTGCTGGTTTTGGGGTAGGGGAGAGGATGGACAAGGAGAGCATCGAGCTGATGTGATGCTGTACTGATACTGTTCTGTTTGGCCCTTGGCAGGGCTTGTCACTTGGCTGGCCTGGATCAGGCACAAACCTCACTCGCTTTGGGACCAGAATTTCAGCCCACGGTGGGAACAGCTAATCCCTCTGCTCTGGGTGAGCCCCGGGATGGGGCACGGGAAGTTTTGGGGATGGTGGCCCTGGGAACCTGCTCCATCCCAGTGCTGACCCACCCCAGGGGAGGCTGGCAGGTACAGCCCTGTGTTGGGAAAGCAGAGGGCAATGCACAGGGCTGGAGGGAGCCTTTCCCCCCCAAAAAAAACCCAATTCAAACCACACATATGTGTAAACTGCTTCTGGCATCGGGCTCTCACTGCTGGGCAGACACACGGCGCTTTGAGATGGTCACCAGACATTTCCAACTGCCACAAGATCTGCCACGGCAAGCTCCAGCCCCCAGACCCGCAGCCCCCTGCGTGGCAGGAGGTATTTGCAGCCTGGCTGGGGAGTTGCACGCCACTGTTGCTGGCCAGGGACCCCCAGCTGCCTGCCCCATGCCAGTGAGAGGGGGAAGTGTGGTGCCAGTCAGAGCAGCTGGCCGCACAGCACCTGGGTGCACCCCCCAGAACGGTGCTTTCCCACACGGGGGTCCCTGCTCACCCCCTCAGAAGCTGCAGTGGCAGCACCCGGGTTGTTTGGAGGGAGAACTTACAGAACTCACATCACCACTGCCCCAGCCAAGCTGGGCAGGGCAGGCGGCAGCCTACAGCCATCCCCAGCACTGGGGAGCACCCAGGCAGGCAGCCCCCGCCAGCCCGGGGACCCCCACAGCCAGCCGGGCTGGTCTGTCGCCAATGAAAGGTGGCCCTGAGGCAAAATCTGGTCTTCGTATGGATGGAGCATCCCCATCACTGAGCATCCCACTGGATGGGCCACCGCCCGCTGCTTCCTGGTAACTCCGGTGAGCCAGTCAGCTTCAGGCCTCTCTGCTGCTCTATTTTGTCCTTTTGCTGCTCACCTGGCAGTGCCGGGGGTCACAGCCATGGGAGCTCCCGGCCAGCTCGGATGGGTCTCACCTTGTCCCTGTGGAAGCCTTCTCACACTCCTTTGGCCACACTCCAGCCCCTCCATGGAGCATCTTCCTCTGCGTGGCCGCAGTGCCCCGGCTGCCCCCCCCAGGGCTGCTGGGGACCCCCAGTCCCCAGGGAGCTGCTGAGCCATCAGCCAGGTCATGGCGCTTCCTGGGGACCCACTCGCTCCTGCTGGGATCCCCAGGGGGAAAAAATGACCTTTCTCATCCATCAGTGGAGACAGTCATCTGCGGGGTTCAAAGCTCCCTCGCTCTGGTCAGAGTGATACAGGGAATAAAACAGCCGCACTTCCATCTCCTCAATCAGGGCTCAGAAATGTTGAGGCTCCCTCTGCACCTGCAGTGTCTGTGCCTCACTCCCTGCCAGTGGTTGCAGCCCTCCCGTAACGCCAGTGACAGCCCCCGACGTTTTCATCAGCTTCTCCCAGGGCAGCCCGGTGGCTCCTGCACGCTCTGAGTGGCCCTGGGGACCAGCTGTGGCCCAAAGGTGGCTGCGAGGTCACTGCTGCCAGCCCCCCCTGGGGCTGTGGGTGCCACCCGAGGGTGCCAAGCCCTGATGCCAGCGACCCAGAGCAGGGATCGTGGTGCTCATCGGCCTGGCTGAGGTGTCAGGGTACGGGGTACGGCAGTGCCTGTCCCTGCTCTCCCCAGGGGTGAGGATAAACCCTCCCACTGCTGTTCCCAGCCGTGCCCTGTGATGGGGTACTGCTGCTCGCCACCCACCCGGCTTTGGCTCCTTGGTGCAAACACATTGGTGCCCATTGCAGCAGCATTGCTCCTGTCAGGGGGAGGCCACCCTGTCCCCTTCGGGCCCCAGCACCACCGGCAGCCCAGCAAGCGGCTGCAGCGGGAGATATTTCAGCAGAATCACCAAACCCTTGGGAAGCCGCACTCGTACAAAAGCTCGGCCAAAGATGTGCTACCAGAGGGGGAAGGCCCACGGTACCTCTGGCACAGGACAGGGGATCAGAGAGGCACTGGCCACCGGCCCTGCCGGCCCGTGTCCACATCCCATGTTCTGCACAACCATCCTTGGGTGGCCACGGAGACATGAGGGTGGCCTCTGCCTGCCAAGGGCAGGGAACACGGGGAGCATCAGAGCTGCTCATTTCAGAACTCCTTTTTTTTTTTTTCAAACAAAATGTCCTAATTTTGCTAAAAAATGGCACCTGAGCACTTGTCCTTAATTTTCTGAGCTGCCAGCAAGGCAAGGAGCCAGCCTTTGTCTGGTGGGATCTTGGTTGAATGTGGGGACCCCCCAAACCTGAGGCTGGGGAAGCCTCTGGGCACATCCTGAGCACCCACGGTGCTCAGTGTTTCCCCTCCTCGCCGCAGGGTGCCTGGCCCAGCAGTGAGCCCCGAGCTCACATTTTAAGTCTTTTTCCCCAATTTTGAAGGCAAGAAAGGAAAAGGCTCCTCTGACCATGTCCAAACAGCGGCAAACGCTGAGACACAGCAGCGCCCGCGGTGCAGGGGGGGAGCTGGCAGCCCCGGCCCCGTGCCCCCGAGGGATCCCCCAGCGCTGAGGATGAGGAGGGTGGGTGTGCTGTGCTGCACTCCCCCCCCCG